CACCAAGTGGCGTGGTGGTAAAGGTGGCTGGATCCCATATGGTCAACTTCACAGTTAAAGTCCTGGACCCTGCAGCTTGAAAAATGCACCAGGTCCATGTGTGTGCTTGCCTGAAATCTTGAAAGGAGAAATGGAGAAAAGAGAATTGCAGTGTGGCCATCTCCCTGAAGAGTGAGTTTGCATTTTCCTCTCTGTCTCTCCGGCAAATGCATATACCCTCTAGCAAACAATAAATAATAACCTTAAATTGCTAATGATGTGAGTGAATAGACATAAATAAAGAGGTCTCTTCTTTGTCCAATCTTGCAATGAAGAAAATTACAAAAATATGAGGCTAGCTGGTGGCATGGTGATTAAGGTGGCTGGATCTCACACGGCCGCTGCATGATTTGAGTCTCAGATCTGTGAGGCTTTAAAAACATGCTGGATGTGTGTGTGCATGCCTAAAATCCCAAAAGGAGACTAGAGGAAAAGGGATTGAGGTATGGTAATTTCCCTGGAGGAAGGGGGTGCTCTCTCACTTTTCCTGTCTCTCTCTCTATCTATCTATCTATCTATCTATCTCTCTCTCTCCTCTCTCTCTCCAACAAGTGCATATACCTATAGAAAACTTAAAAAAAAAGAATGAAAAGTACAAAAATATGAATCCAGTAGAAAAGTCAATCTTCCCCATCCATTTTTGATTTAATAGGTTTTTATCTCCTTCTTTCCCTCATGGCCAAACTATTTCACATTTTCCCAAGCACTAACCAATAAAAGCAACTAAATCAGAAACTTTTTAGAAGATAATATATTTTGGGGTCAGACAGTGATAAAGCATGATGCTCTGTGAGACATTCCCACATGGAGAAGTTCCCTGTTCAAGTCCAAAGACCTCCCCAAGTACACAGAGCATGCGTTTGCCCACAATCTGAGACTGGCTGAGGCTGGGGGGATACCACAGCATCAGGACCAAGTTTAGCGTTCTCTCTCACACATGTTCTCTCTCACTCACTCATGGAAGTAATAAGCAAACTATTTTAAAAAGGGGAGAAATATAAGCCCTGTTTTGAGTGGGTTTTTTAATAACAGTGTGCTCTGTATTTTGATAATGCTAAATTAGAGTTTGGCTAATGTCCAGAGCGAGACAGGACCTTAGTGAGAAATAGATAGGGCTTATAAACTGTTGATAATGACATGTATGGTATTCTCAACTGGATTGGTCTGGGAGGTGTTTCATGATGGGCAAAGTATTTTTACAAGCAAAACGAAAATAGCAATTGACTGTTTTATAAAAATAATTAGAATAATAAAGATAATGATTGGGGAAAACAGAAAGGATATGGAATGTTGAAGTGGGGAGATCAATGTCCCTGTACTCACTGACGTGCATGGCATTCCCCTTTGAAGAAATAATGTAATACACTGTAAAGTTATATGTAATCCAATGTAATATGAAGAAGATATGATGATAAAAAATAAAAAATTAAACAAAAAAAAAAATTAAAAGTCAAAGGGAGACACAGTGAGACAGAGACAGATGGAGATGGATGAATAAATAAAACTAAAAGTCACAGACACAGTGAGACAGAGAGAAACAGACAGAAATGGAGAGAAAGAGACACAGAGCTATCCCTACCCACCAGAAGTGAGTCTAGAGGGGGAAGTCTCAGCAGAAAATCTTCCTTTTTGGTCAAGGAAACCAATATTTCACAGTTGAAGTATGGAATCCATCTCAGTCCAATGTGAGTTTTAAGCCACTGGGTCTGGGACTCAAACTGAGGTCTACTACATAGGAGTCCAGTAATGTAACCTAATGCTATTTGCTGGTCCCTCCTTTTATCTTTTTAATTGCTAACTTTTCACTCTATTTTTTCTGTCAATAAACTTTTGGACTCCATTAGTACCAAGGTAGGTAGAAGAATGTCTTCTGTATCAGCCTTCAAATATTTAACAAGCTGCTCAAAAGTAAATCTAGTATTGCACCAAGAATCTACCAGCACTGTAGTCATGATGTATCTTAGTCTCTTCTTATATTGTGAAGCGCTAGTACAGTGCCCGGCCCATAGTCAGTATCCACAATAAATTGTTATTGTAACTTCTGCTCACCTGATTTGTTCATGTTGAGCCAATACTTACCATCTTTAGTATTTTTTTTTTTTTTGAGTTTGACATCTGTCCTTATTTGGAATTACTGTTGCCACATCTTCTGCATGGTATCAGTAAAAATGCTTTAGTAGTGGGTCATCTGAAAAGTCATGACATATTTGTTCTATGCAAGAATGCATCATGACTTTTTTGATGACCCAATATTTACATTATGGGCCACAATGGAGGTATTCAGGCTTTTCCATGGATGGCCACTTGATTTAAATTCCATCACTGGTGCAGGTCGCATGAACTTTTACAAAAAAATGATTTTAAGAGTGAGTTGGGAAGTTCCCTCTGGCATAAAAGTACTAGACCTGTAGCTGAACCAAATGTACGTGGGGGAAGGAATTAGTTATTTACCTTTTACTTACCACCTTTTATTATTAACCAATATTATGCATTATACTTGGGCAGCTCAAGACTGCACAACCACTTCCAGTTTGAGTTTTAAGTGCTAGTTGCTTGAAGCCTGCTGGGAGAACCCCTGGTATCAACAGTGATGACGGTGGGTTCCAACCTTGACTGTGGGCCATCATCACCTGGAGAGCTCTAAAAACCCTTGCTCAGGCCTATCTCAGAGCGCCTTTTCAGATTGTTCTTAAGCAGGGCCTCACCATTTGGTATTTTTAAAAAGGCTCCTCAAGCAATTTGGTGAGTTGAGAACTACTGAGTGGCAAGAAAGAGACTTAAATACCACAGTTTAATGTATGCTAACCAAATTAAATTGGTTAAACACTCTTCTTACAGTGAAGCCATGCCTCCTACCTCCTTTCTTGTTTATGCCATACCTGCAGATTAAACAACAGAGAAAGAGCAGAGCTGTGGAGTCAGGAGAATTTTTGTTTCAACTATTGTCTGTCTTACTAAAAGTATGACCTTGGAAAATATTCTTATCCTTAATGAATTTTAGTTTCCTCATTTGTCAAATGGAAATAATAAGGCTTCTTCGGAAGTGAAGATTAAATTAATAATGAAGAATGGAAGTATTTAACACAATACCCAGTATGTAATAAGAGCTCAATGTATTATTCTCTTCCATCTCTCTTTATTTTTCATTCTCTCTCCCCTCTCCTCCCCTCTCTCCCTCTTTGCCTGTCTTTCTTCTTTTCTCGTTAGGGAAAATGAGGAGCTTGGATAACATTTAAATTTCTCTTATGCTTGAAAATCCAGTCGGTCTTATTTCTGACTCAAGCAATGTGACCAGAGAATAACCGCTACATACTCTTTTCTAACAAATTAAATTTATGTGCTAAAAGAGAAACTATTGACATACAGTTGGCAAGGGATGAATTTGGAGTTTCTTTTATTATCCTGTCCACATACATATTCCCACTTGACTACCTTTCAACCTGATATGTTTATGCAGTGGTCAGCCAAGGCTAGGGATGTGGTTTGGGTTGTGGAAACAAGGTTTTTTTTTTTTTTTTTTAATTGAGTGATGCCATCTGTTTCATATGGGCATCAATCTCATGCCTTTGACCACCATTCACTTGCTTTATACATATGAATATACAGTGTTCTTTATGCTTGTAATAATGGTGGGGGCACCTGGCATTTATATATAGCACCTGTTTGAAATGATACACTCGAGAGGAGCACAGGTGAAATCAGAGACATCTTTCAATTACTATCTGGTTAATTATTTTATTTATTTATTTATTTTTTGTCAAGAAAACAAAATGTTTCTGCATCTCGATCCATTCCCAAAGACTCATAGGGGAATTCATTCCATTGTACCTTGGTGTCAGGGAACCATTCATTATTCATGACAATGACTCAGGAAGGCATGTGCCTTGTTTTATTGTGACACATACCTGTCCTTTGCTCACTTGTCTGGTGCCAAATGGAAGCTCAGGCAGTTGAGAGAGGTTCCGAGCTTCCATTATTACCTATTTCAGGCCAGCCAAGGCAGAGAACTGGGAGATTCTTCCAATGCACTCTCTCAAGGGAGTTGTTTGTGTTAGACTAGATAAATCATCTATGGAAACAGTCACTTCCATGAGGACAATATGATCCTTGGATGTTTCCCAGTGCCTCGCAAACTGTAGCAAGGATGCAGTGCAATTGAAGGACTGAGAGAAGTGTTTAATAAAAATCATAACAAGCTAGATTCCAATTTTTGATTCATCACCATCTATAGCCCAAATCAGCAAACTTTTTCTGTAAAGGACTAACTAGTAATTATTTTAAATCTTTGCAGCACTTATAATCTTAGTCAAAATGACTTAGTTCTGCAGTTGTTGTCAAAGTGGCCCTAGACAATTCATAAAGGAAATCCTTGACTCTGTTCTAATAAAACTTTATTTATAGATAGAGATAGTGAGTCTGATTTGGATTGTAGTTGCAGTTTGCCCACCCGTGATCTATAGGACCTCACACTAATAAGTCACTTTAATTCTCTAGGTTTATCTTGAGATGAAAACATGTAGTGTATATCATAAAATACCAAGTGCTTATCATAGAGTAAGCATTAAAAATATTATATATAGGGGCCAGCAGGTGGCATGGCGGTTAAAGGTGCTGGATCCCCATGTAGACAACCACAGTTCTAGTCCTGGATCTGATGGCTTGCTTTTCTCACTCTCCCTTTCTCTCTCTCTCTCTGGTCAAATTAAAGAGATAATAATGACAAATGTAATTAAATAAATAAATAATTCTTTTAAAAAGATCATATATAATTTAAGATGCTATGATTATAAGATGCATCTGGATTTCAGAGATGTCGATATATGATTAAAAAGTCTTAGATTTGATAGCATGTGGAAACTAATTACTGTTACTGGGTTTTCTCTAGGATTTCAAGTCTTGTTCTACCAGTGTTGGTTCCAAGTTTCTTGTATAACATGTCTTTGTGATGTTTTTCTTGTCAGAGACACATGCCACGAACTCCTGGGACATGTCCCACTACTTGCGGATCCTAAGTTTGCTCAATTTTCACAAGAAATAGGTCTGGCATCTTTGGGAGCATCAGATGAAGATGTTCAGAAACTAGCCACAGTGAGTTCATTTTCAACTTAAAAAATGGTTCTATTTTTGTCCAACTGAAAAGAAAGCTTCAGAGTTATTGTCTATGAATCACAGGTAAATGTCCTAGAGAGAGCACAGTGATTTTTACCATTTCCCATATTGTGTTTTTTTGAAGCAGAATGAGTTCTTGGCTTATTGACCACCGAAGTGCTTATATCAGGTTTGGGGACTGTAAGATCTGTCACAGTGGCTAAGCTGACAGGTCATGTTGCTATGAAAAAAAGCAGCAGACAATACATACATGAATACGTGTGGATGTGTTCCAATACAGCTTTATTTACACAACTGGTGGTGGATCATATTTGGCCTGTGGGCTGTAGTATGCTGAGGTCCATAGAAATATTAACAGTAAGGGGAACCAGCAGTTAGCGTAATGGCTATGTCGCTGGACTCCCACATAGTCGACCGCGGTTCGTGTCTCGGACCTGGTGGCTTAAATCTCATGCCAGGCGCATGTGCGTACGTGCCCAAGATCCCGAGAGGAGAATGGAGGAGAAGGGACTGTGGTGGTGTGACCATCCCCCCTGGGGGTGATTTCTCGCTTTCTGTCTCTATGTCTCTCTCTGTCTGTCTGGCAAGCGCACGCGCCCTATAGCGAAAGGGCCCACCCCCCTAGAACAAAAACCCCCCCAAAAAAAAAAAAAAAAAAAAGAAAAAGAAATATTAACAGTAAAAGATAGACATTCATGGTAAATTAGGAGTTGTACCTAGGAATACCTCTTTGATTAGTCTGTATGGTTGTGATCAGACATAATTTGAGTCTGCTATAAGAAACTCAGAGTGAACAATTATTCTAAGTACAAAACCAGAAAAAGATGGAATAGATTCTATGGTATAAAGGGTTTTTTAAGAAGTTCAAGGAAAATGCATATTACAAAAAAAAAAAAAGAAAAGAAAACCCAAAAAAACTATGCCTGGATTTGAAATATTTTGCACCCAAATAAACTTGTACTTTAACTGCATTTTCCCACAAATTCTTTGAAGTCTCCTAGTATCAGGAAGGTTCTTAGGAGTAATGCTGGCTGCTACCCGTAAAGGGCTGAAGAGTCAGATCTAGTAAACTCAATGGGCCTTATGTAAACCCCATTTCAAAGAACCCTGAAAAGAAAGCAAGTTTAGTGAACTCACTTACCTGAAGAATCCAGTCAGCCTAAATGAGTAAAGCTAGCATGGGAAGAAAAATTAGATCTTAAATGGCATGTAATTGGCACAGAAATGTATCATTGGCATATGAGCTATTCAGGAATGTTCTTTATTCCCATCAAAAAATAACTTTTCTCCTAGATGAAAAAAAAAAGCCCTTTAGTGTATCCTTTGTTTCTTACTTTGGATAGAGATATAGGAACCAAGAAATCATTCTCTACTACAAGAGAAACATCAATACAAAAGCCATCTAAATGGCAATGACTCTTGGCGCCTTTATGGTGTTGAATACGAATTAGTTAGGATTTTGGTGAATTAGGGAAAGAAAGTCCCTTGTGCAACAGAAGATTGCTTCTGAGCTTTTACTAATGGTTGTCAGATGGGATAAAGGCTTTTTGTTGACAGATCTCCTAAACTTTTTTAAGAGATATTTTTGCTATAGGACATGCATGCTCACTGGAGAGACAGAAAGTGAGACCCCTCTTCCCCCCTCAACCTGAGGGCTGGCCATGCCACAATCCCTTCTCCTCCATTCTCCTCTTGGGATCTTGGGCATGCACATGCACAGGACCAGAGTGAAGTTTAAGCCCCTGGGTCCAGGACTCAAACTATAGTCGACTAGGTGGGAGTCCAGCAATGTAGCCATTACGCCATCTGCTGGTCCCTCTCCTGAACTTTTGAGAAAGACTCTCATGTGTATTGTATCTCATGTGCATTGTTGGCTACTTATATTTTATTGTATAACAGAATTATCCTAAAACTCTGTTGCTTAAAACAGAAAACATAGTTTCTATGTTTGGAAATTTGAGAGCAGCTTAGCTGAGTGGTTCTGGTTCAGGGACCTTCATGAGGTTGCAGTCAGGATGCAGCCTGGGCCTTTAGCTATCTTCAGGTTTGGGAGTCTGCTTCCAGGATGGCTCACTCACATGGCTGTTGGCAGGAGACCTCAGTTCCTCACCATGTAGACCTTCATGGGCTACTTGAGCATCCTTATGGCAAGTCCATTAGCTTTTTACACAGAAAGTAATGAGAGACAACAAGAAGAAATGAGAGAGAGAGAGAGAGAGAGAGAGAGAGAGAGAGAACAAAGAGAAAGCTCTAACACATTTTATAGCTTGATAAAGTGCTATTCATGTTGGTTATACTCTATTCATTGGAGGGTACTCACTCCAGCCCACACTCAAGAGGAGATAAATTAATTTCCATCTTTTGGAAAAATGAGTGTCAAAGCATTTGTAGATTACCACTTCATAAGTCCCATGACTTAGTTCTCAAACCTGCGATTTTGCTTTAAACTTCATGTTTTGGAACATTTTCTATGCCTTTGAAATTTCTTTTATGCTGTTTTCTGGAGGATCTGAGGGAGAATCTGTTCTTTAAGTTTTTCAGCTTCTAGAGGCTGCCCACATTCCTTGACTCATGGCCTCTTTCTCAATCTGTAAAGGCAGCGATGTTGCATGTCTCTGACCTTCCTTCTGTCTTCATCTGGCCTCTCTTTCACTAAGTGTGGATAGGAAAGGTCTTTTGATTCTCCGAGTTTACGTGATTAGGTTGGAACCGCCTGGATAATTCATGATCATCCTCCCATTTCAAGGTCTAGGTCTGGGCCATTATTGTGTTGCTAAACAGAAATATCTAAGACTGGGTGATGTCTGAAGAATAAAAGTTTACTTGACTCACAGTTCTGGTGGCTGAAAAAGGCATGGGGCTAGCATCCGGTTCTACGTTATAACACGGCTGACGGAAGCAGAAAAGGAGGGGAGAAGAGGAAACAGACTTTTCCACTTCCTCTGTTTGTATCCCCTATGCTTGCAGCCAGTTGAGGGATAAATGCCCATTTTGTAGGTGGGTCTTCTTCTTAAAGGACTTGTCATCTCTTAGTGTTATTTCATTAGGAACCAAATTCTCAGAAAATGAACTTTCGGGGGACAAACCTTATTCAGAACATAGCATTCTATCTCTGGCCCTCAAGGTTCATTTCCTTTTTGTATATAAAACACAAATGTCTCCTTCCAATAGTCTCCAAAAGTCTTTATCTATTCTAGTACCAACCCCACAGTCCAAGTTCTAATTCTCATCTGGGTCTCAGACAAACTCCTTCTAGCTGTGAGCCTGTAAGGTCAAGAAAACACAGCATTTCCCAGACGTAAAGATAGAGCCAGCATAGAATAGAAAGACTCCCATGCCACGAAAAGGAAGGCCCCAAGCAATTTTGAAACCCAAAAGGTAAACATTCAATCTTAATGCTTGAGAACAATCTCCTTTGACAAAATGTTCCACAACCCAGAGTGGAGTTTAGGCCCCCGAGTCGCTGGGGGCCCCATCCCCCATGGCTTTGCTGATTGGACTGGTCCTACTTAGAATCTAGTGCTTGTGCAATAGCTTTGGCAGGCAGTCTCTACAATTCTGAAAACTTGAGAGCAGCCCTACCATGAGATCCCACTAAGCCTGGCCCTGGTTTATTTTCTCTTCTTTGATCCCAAATTTTGCTTGGTACTGCCCTAGTGAAGACTTTCGGAGGTTCTGCCTGTGTGATGGTTTCTGCCTGACTGTCTAGGCTTTTCCGTACATCCTTTAAAATCTAATGGGTGGAGGCTGCCATTTTACCACAGCTCTTGTGGCCTCCGTGCTTGCAGAACTAGTGCTACGTGTCAAATGTCCACAGGAAGGTCAACCTGCCTGCAATCTTGCAGTGGCTTTGACAGTTAAGCAAACCAAAATGAGTGTAAATCTGTAGGAGATTTTAATGAGAAAGATTTCAAGTCTTTTCTAAATGCGGGAAGGAGATAGGGTGTGTCTTACCATGGTTTTGCCTAATCTTCTCATTTCTCTTCTCTTAATATTGCTGGGGGCCTTTCTCCAACTCTCTGTGACTTTCTATCAAAATAAATATCATGCATATATGACGGAGGACAGAGTCACATGTGAGGAGGTGAGAGATTTTTCCTGAAATGATATTAAAACTGTGATTGATGTCTAGAACCAACTTTCATCCCTCAGTTACAACAAAGCGAAAGGAAAACCACCAGGAGATGGTTTGAAAGAAAACACAATTAGATTCCAACCAGGTAATTCCAAAGTTGGCTTTGAAATAAATGACCTGTTGGATAACATGCACATTATAATGACCCTTGAGCCATACACTGAAGCTCAAAGACCAATTTAATTGCCTAGTTGAAAAGATTTAGAGATTGTGAGTTAAGGCCTTACGAGGAGAGGTTAAAAGTCCTTTAGTGGGGGAATAGTGGTGGCTGCCTAGGCCAGATGAAAAATGGAGGCTTTATTAGCTGATTTTCTTAGTCATTTGCATTAACTCGCCAGAAGAAATACTAGAGGAAAAATGAGGGATGAGATGTACCAAAGAAGAAAAATCCATAGAGAGGACAAATGGGAAACTGTGGAAATCACTATTTATGCAGAACAATGAGACAGGCCATATTACTCTTTTACTCTAGGTGAGATATATATTATTAATGACTCTGTTTATATAGTGCCTGTTTTTCCTTGTTTGGTGAATTTAAGCACTTATGAAAAAGAGAGTCATGCCTAGTGGAAGCAGACACTTAATAACTCTCCGTGATATTCTGTCAACAAATCCATCTAAGGAAGAAAACAACCTCTACCAGACTAATTGGCACTGCCAAACCTGTTTTGTCCTAAGCTGCTTTTGAACTTCTGGGTCTGATTTTCAGAGGGACCAGGCTATAATGCCTGTAGCTATTGTATTTCCTTCCTATATTTCTGCATGATATTTATTTTGACATTTTAATAATGCTCAGTTTGGAGAATGAAGGCATCTCCACTGTTTTATGTGGGCAATGGTTTCT